TAAACGATGTTTAATGCGTTCCAATGGCATTTTCCTATCCGTATAGCGATGTTTTCTCATAGCGATGGTTAATCCGGAACGGATTAACGTCACTATACGGGGCACCACTGTACTAGTAGGATAAACTACTGGGCCTGAGAGTCCTTAATCCTAGAGTCTCGGAGTCTGATTGATCTCTTTCTGAAGGAGAGAGATTGAGGATGTAACAGAAGGATTGCCACCACTGGCAAAACCACTAATACATTACTATGAGAACAAAAGACACAACTCTGGGTTATGTCTTTTGTTCTCATATTAATGTATCAGTGATTTTGTAGGTAATGGCAATCATTCTGTTACATTCTTAATCTCTCTCCTTCAGGAAGACAGCATACTTGGCAAGTCCAAAAAATCTTCCTGACATCCTTTGATTTCAATCCCACAGAATCTCACACTACAACAATTATTCTCTTCTTTTTGTAGAATGTAGGTTGGCTGCCTCTCTCTTACTGTCCTGCAGGGTTCCCTGTCTTCCTGTCCAAGCTGTTTGTCAGACTCCTCTTCAAGAGTCTGAAAATGGTTTTCAATTCCACTGGTGAAGAGTGTCCCCTCCTCCTCCTCCTCCTCCTCCTCCTCCTTCTTCTTCTTCTTCTTTTTCTCTTAATTGTGATTTTTTTTCACATGATGCTTCTTCCTCCATGGTGTTTATAATCTCTTCAACACTCACCTCCTCTGCTTTATCTTGTTGTTCTTCCATTTCCAGTGCCTCCCTTGGCTGCTTTTGCTCAAGTTCTATGTATTCTTCATCTTTTCTTATAGCCTCAGCTGTGACTGCTCACTGCTCCAGTTCTCTCATTTTAATTTCCACTAGTGCAACCAGTTGTGTATGCAGTGTTATATTTAGGGACAAAGACAAACATTACACACACTTGCAGGTCATCACCATGGTAGTGTCTTTTCCCTCTATAATCTCTATTACCATTTTTAGTCACCTTCCATGTTCACCTTCTGTTATTTCACTATAACTTTTCTGCTTAGTTTTACAACATGGGCTTTTTAGTGGTTTAGTCTGGATATATGCCCTTCTTTCCTATACTTTCTGCTGTTTTTCCAATCTGTGCTTGGTTATATTGACATGGGGTAGTTCAGTTCAGTAACTGTTTTATGCCATATGGCTCCTGCTTGTTTTCTAGGTATGTGGAATCATCATCATCTGGTTTTATTGTTTTTTACATTTGTAAACCGCCCAGAGTAGACCTTTGGTCTAGATGGGCAGGATAGAAATTGAATCAATCAATCAGTCAATCAATCAATCAATCAATCAATCAATAATCTTCACCCAACAGAATGGATATATTCTTCATATATTCTGTTTAATTTAAGGAAGAAATTGCTAAACAAGTTCAAAGCACTTATTTTCAAAAGGAGAAGTATTAAAAAAATTAGGAGAGATGTATGAAAAGGAAGATGAAGGGAAGGTTAGGAGTTTCTAGAATACTCAAGACTATCGTAATAACTCAACAAGAATCTGTAGTGAAGATCAAGAAGCCATCTCCAACTCCAAGAGTTCAGTAACATAGTTAATGAATGGTGTAAAGCTGTGGTTAAACCTTGGACCCCCAGATATTTAAAAATGGATCATGCAAACACATGCAGGCGAGTGAATTAGATCATTGGACAATGAAATGCTTACTTTCAAAGTGAGAAAGGCAAATTAGATATTAGAGAAACTGGATTCTTTCTGTCTCTCTTCAGTTAGAAAAACAGAGCAAATACCTGTGCTTGATACTTGTCAGGAAGAGAGTTTGAGGAACTGAGTCAAATAATGGGGACATGAGATTAAATTCTAAGCTTTATCAGTAAATTAAAAATAGAAAATTGCTGGGTCTTTTGGGGCATTCAGGGAAGCCTGAATTATACGCTCTCACTTCTCATCCCCCAACTCAGTACCCAACCTTCCTACATTGAACAGATCCAGAAGCCTGCTTTTTCAGAGTTCCCAACCACACAAAGGCTTCTATTTATGGTCTGGTGGACTACACATGTTCACTAGAAAGTGGCAGACCTTCCTTCTCAATGCAGGAAGGTTGGGGTTTAAAGGGATGTGGCAATGGGATGTGTTCATGTCCAATGTCCTTACATCATGAATTCAGGGCATAATAGTGAAATAGAGCTTCACTGTCTCGGGGCTATATTCTTCCTCTGCAGATTTTCACATTAATTTTACATTTTTATCTGTTTCTTTCTCTCCACCCTTCTCTGCACTTCAGGCTGGAAGCTGGACAGAACTGAAAGACACAGGAATCTCTCCATCTCACAAACTTACATACTTAAAACAACTCATTAGCGCTAACAGAGAAAAAGAAATGGCTTGTGAACTCCGCTTGTCTGCATTGCTAGATGTGATGGATACATGAGTAGGATTGCCCCCAGTCTGTGGGGCAACAGGGCTAACAGTGGATCTACAGCTGAGTAACATTAAAGGAAGGAAATCTGTATCAAAATACTGTAAGACAGACCTTTGTGAATGACTTCTATCTAAAATACTACTTTGTGATTTTATAATACTGTTACAATGTGCAGATGAATCTAGTGTTCTGTGCTTTGATCTGATTTTTGCTACTTTCCTGTGTGAACTTTATAATTAGCTCACTTTGACCCAGCACTCACTTCAGAGTTTAGAGTTAAGTAGAGATGTGTAGGCTTGTGTCTTTTTTCCACTGCAAAACCTGCAATCCGTCAGTTAATCTCATAGTTATGCTGCCTCAGAAATTATGGCTGTTGTAGTTCAAGAATCCAATCTGCTTACTTCTACAGATAATCTTTCAGTCTTCACATTGCATTATACTTAAATATTCTTCATCTTGTGGTTTGTCATGAAATAAAACTGAGGTTTACATGTGTATAACATGTAGGTCCAGATCATGTGGTCAGTTCACAGATTTTATCTAGACAATTGGCTACATTAAATTAACTGCTCTCTGGATACTGCAAGGTATTGGAAGATGCCCCCATTCAAACAATATGGTTCCATGTGGATATTTGCTGCTGTTGGAGGCAGGCCAGATGTACTAGATTATGGGGAAGTAAAATGCAGTACACTTAATGCTTCACACAAAGGGAGAAATTATTTTCTAATCTAGCCACATGTAATGTGATGTCTTTCCAAGGTTATATGTAGTGTATCTAAATAATGGTGTGCAGTTCTACATTCATGTAATAATTTTCATGTATAAATGGCCATGTTCTTAGTCATTAAGGAAGGAGCATTTTAGTAATTTATAACAACTTTCTATTATGAGCAGAGGGACAAGGTATTACAAACTGAAAGTCAGAAAAACCAGGCTCTCAATGGTCTGTAAATTTATTTTTGAATAGGCTCAGTCATAGGCCAGAATTCTTAGGATTAATGTCAGAATTTATAACCCAGCATAGATATAAGATAACCCTCATTTCAATGCCAACTCAGGTCTGCAAAGTGCGGTTATCTCTTTGTCCAATAAAAATCTTAATTATATTCTTTAAGGAATTTTTGCTGAGGATTATTCTAGAACTTAGAGAACCTTTGAAGATTTTGTATTCCTATGAGAGCACACTTAATAATTTAACGAGACCAGTATGTTAAATTGTGTGTTTACGCACAATAATTCTTCCTTATTATGAAATAAATGTTAGTTTGTTTTTGCATTTTTAAATTAGAAATTTGTTTTGAAATACTGCGGGATACTGTTGCATTTCAAGTTCTTTTTCCCTTGAATAAAAGCTATTATACTAATGTAACACTGATATTCTCCAACTTCATGTTACCAAGAAGAAAGCCAAAAACATCATATAGTTACTGCATTTTTTGATTCTTTGGTCAAGAATTAGAACCTTGATACTGTTGCATATATTTTTAATGAATTTGAGTAATTTTCTTTTTTTTAAGTACACTATTTTACCATAGCCTTATCTTTTTAGTATGCTTTGATTCTGGCATTTACTTACATACAAGAATGATATTGTGGCAATAATTTTTTCTTAATATTATATTTTTACTGTTTGTTATTAACTGGTGTTAATAAAAACCATTGAAAACCTTCAGCCATTGTTTCATATATAAAGTTTCAAATAAAATTGGGTGACTCAATAGGTATGCAATTCTTATGCAAAGAAGCAGGGACAGAATGGAGCCAAGAGTTTAGGATGAGGGACATTACATGAACTTTCACATGGGTGTTGGATTCCTTCTTGAAGCAAGACAGTACCAGAATGTCGAATGGAGGCAGACTTTTGTTTAAAAAGCCATCCTTGAATCCCATTGTACTGAATAATTATCACCAAGTCTCCAATAATCCACGGGTGTAGCAAAATGCCAACAGGTGACGTCATTCCTGCCTGTCCATCACAGAAGCTCAAGAGGGCGGAGCCAAGGATAGGGCAGGAGGGGCGGAGTTAGAGGGACAGTTGGAGATGTGGAATGGCAGGGTTTAGGAGAGAAGGTGTGGGTTAGTGAATTGAGCTGAGAGTGTTAGGAGAGGGAATTGAGAATCTTAAAATATATTGAACAATCAGGAATGAAGTTATAAGAACTATAAGAGAGAGATTGATTAGAAATATACTGGAGTTTGGAGTAAAAGTGATTGCATACATAATCCAATCTGTGTTAATACCTGATACAGTTCATACGTGATTTACCTTTATGATTTACTTGAGAATAAAAGAATATTTGTTAATTAAACCTCTGATTTCTAAGTTCAATAAACCTTAGTTTTGGCAGCACACATGTTTGGCAGCACACATAATTGGTATTAGTAGAATACCTGGTGGCCGCTAGAAGAGAAAAAGGCTGTGATCCTTTGTGAGGGCCAAATAAACAGGGACAACGTCTATTGCCACAAATGATAAACAATGATAAAGTATTACAGCAAAGAAATTGAAGGTAATGCAAATGTTGAGTGAGTTTAATGGTGTTAAGTATTACTGTGATTTAAAATGTGTAGTGTTATTGTAAGTTGTGTGAAATATTAAACTGTTTCTACGTTGTTCATGGAGCAAACCACTGTAGGTTTTACTCCATGGAACAAACTTTGTAAGGGGGAAGGTATGTAGCGAAATGTCAACAGGTGACGTCATTCCTGCCACAAGCAGCTTGAATCCCATTATCACCCAGTCTCCAATAAACCATTGGCTTTGAGTGTGTGCTAGCAATATAATACATTGTTGGAATTAGGAGCATGATTTGGGGGCTTTCTGGAAAAAGTTAATTTCGAGAAGTTATATATGATCTGCAAGCAAATTGGAACTGACTTACAGCAACCATAATAGGAAGAGTGGTTTTAGCTTTTACCCCTTGTTATGCAAAATAAATCATGTGTTATTCATGTACAGTGGTGCCCCGTATAGCGACGATAATCCGTTCCGAAAAAATTGTCGTTATACGGATTCTTCACTATACGGAACAAAAAAGCCCATAGAAATGCATTAAAATGCGATTAATGCATTTCTATGGGCTTCAAACTCACCGTTCAGCGAAGATACTCCATAGTGTGGGCATTTTCGCTGCCTGAATCGTCCCAGAAAATAGCGGGCGGCCATTTTGAAATTGC